ATCTATATGTGTGTATATTATCTGTATTATACATACAAACAACTACAAAATATCAAAAGGCAGACAGGCAGTGCATACCCATAAGAAAAGCCCCAAAAGCACACTGAACAAATAGACAGCAGAGACGATAGGCAAGACAGCTAAACCGACCTTATTATTGATTTTAGTTTTAAATGTTTTTGCCGGCATTCTTACTGGATTTACACAGTAACTGCACGTTGCAGTTAGCATTTGTGTTGTGCTCTTTCTTGCCGAGCAGAGAAGAAGGAGTGGCGTAGAGAGTGAAGCAAGTTTTCGCTTTAAAATAGTAATTAAAACAAATGCAAACTCTAATAAAATACAAGACAAAAGCTGTGTAAATATGTTAATTACAGTTGTGGGTAGTCAACAGGATGGCTTCACTGCTATTTGAGAAATGTGTAGATACCGTGAAAATCTTTTTGCATAATTTAAATATAAATCAAAACATAAAGAAATTACGAAAACGTTAATGATAACGTGATAACGCTTTTTTGACGAATTGATCTATGTTTCTCAACGGCAGATTCGTAATGTAGTGGTGTAGTTCAAAATAATTGATCATGAAAATAATCGTCATGAAAAGATTTAGAGTATTCTAACTTAAGAATAAGTAATTACACAATTTTAATATTACCTTTGATTAGTTATGCTACAACTAGATCACAACTACAATAAGCAACATATCAGAACGGTAGAAACATGATCAAAAAACACTGACATAAATGACATTTTGCAGAGAAGGGAGTAACAAACTGTCCAACTTCGATATGCAGATAAATCAGATCTCTCAGATCATAAAAATTAAACCATTTTCCAAAAATATAAAATTTTTTTTTAAAGCAAATTTTATAGATGATGCCGAAGAGTCTATAAAATATTCTTAATTTTAGGAAATAAAAAAGAAATCAAATAATGTCCGCACCAAAAGTTGTTTAATGGCGTGGCGTTGTATGTAGGTCAGCCACGTGTATAGATAAGCTCAGTAACTAATATTTTTCCCAAAAATTTACTGCAATGCGAAACTGCCAATACTAAAAAAACGTTGAAAAAAAATGCACCATTAAAAGACATGGCAGACTCGAAGTCGTTTTACCAACACATAGACAAACACTGACAAACAGAAAATGCATTATAAGAGACACAACTTACCAAGAAGTTCTTTTATACTGAAGTTTACATTGCCATTACATGTATCTGCAAAATTTTAAAGCACCCAAGAAACTGTGTTCATGCCAAAAAAATAATATACACATACACACACATATATATATTACAACATTTCATATGCAAGTAATTTTTTTTTTCATTGAAAAAAAAATACTCTCAATTCGCTCTGTTCTGGTAGTGAAAAAATTTACAAAAAAATGTTAACCGTTCAACAAAGAATTATAACAAATATTACCCCAGGGCAACGCTCCAAGTCATGTAACTACGGCTGCAACGAAAAAAAATGTACAATAAAATTGAGAAGAGCACATGTAATGTTGTAGCAATTGCATGTGTATTTATGCTGCATGTTTGAAGCGCCATTATGCTGCCCCACTACCAACAGATAACACACAACAAAGCAGGGGGCCAACGATAGCAAGCAAGCGAACCAAGTTGACTGCATTGGAAGCGCAAAATATTAGCCCAAACAAAAAAAAACAAAAATAACAACAAATATTTCCATTACAAATTTTTTCATTTTATCATTTTGACTTTTTTTTTCTGTTGATACATATTTTTTTAGTTTTTTGATAGTTTTTTTTTATTTTGCTTCTTTATTCTTCTTGCGCGCATACCTTTTTGCCGTTTTTAGTGCACATGTTTTTGTAAAAATAAATCTTGGAATACGTGAAGTGAAGCACATGATGCTGCAATAACCAACAACAGTAAAATCAGCAAAGCAACATGACACAGGATTGCCATTCATGCGCTTTTTCAAGTTACTATGCCAAAAACGGAAAAGGAAATGCTTTTAAAATATTTATATTTATACATATATAAGGGACAAGGGACAAGGGACAATACAGCAAGCACAATACATGCACTTAAATGCATAATACGTTTGTGTTTGCACAAACACAAATACATATATGTTATGTTATAATGGTTGCATAAAAGTTACTGGTGAATGACATAAGAGAATACCGGTTCTGTTGCAATTTTAACTTAAACATGTAATGGTCCTCGTATAGGATCATATCATTACTTTGAATTTAATAATTTCTTTACATATTTTACGTATAAAATCATCATCTATAAAATATTATCGTATAAAAGTAGCCAATTTAAAGCTTAATTTTGTAGAGTTCAAGAGTTCTTTTTTTTTTAGATTTTAAAGGTAGTCATTGTTATTGACATAATTATATTTAAAAAAATATAAATACATGTAATTAAAATAATTTTTGTCAATGTTTTTTGTTAAATATTTGCTAAGTAATAAAATTTTTTCACCAAAAATAGCACAAGTAATACCAATAGTATACAAGATTTAAATAAATTTTCTCACCAAAACTTATTCCATATGTTCATGTATAAGTGAATTATTGCAATTTATATTTCTTTAAAATGGCAACCCATAAACTTGAGTCAAAATTTTTTATGCATTTTTATAAAACATGTTAAAAACGTGTTTCGCACATTATTAAAATGCTTGCAATGCATCGTAGCAATACTAACGACCCAACTTTTTGCATCACTACACCCCACAACCTCCAGCAAAAACTGAACAACTCAAATATACCACCATACATTCCCTACGACACCGTACACTTCGGGTGACTTTTCTGTCGCAGTCACATTCACATTCACATTTGCTGTCAAAGCTTCAGTCCGCCGCAATCGTTATTTTCGCCTGTTTGGAGTAAAACGCAGCAAAAGAAACAAAAATGGCGAGCCGCCAAATAATGCATACACATATTGCGCAAACAAATGCATGTGTATGCGTAAGTGCATGTGTAAGTGCATGCACTGAGAGCAGAGTAAAATGCACCATGTTTAAGCAAACATAAATTGAAATATTATACGATTATACGATTAAATTATGGTTGTAATTTTTTAGCAAACATTTTCATTTCAGCCAAACCGAAGCGACAAATAAATAAAATTTTCTAGGGCCTCATAAAATGCATTTTTATAATTTTTCTTCTTTTTCTTCTATATAATCACAGCACCACAGATTGTGTTATGGCATGTTCGCTTCATAAGGAGGGTTTATGCAAGTAATTTAAAATAGTGCAAATACTAAGAAGCTTTCTAAAAGCACACTCATGCATGCATACAATTGCATAATGTAATACATATATATATATATAGAAGAGCATCTATATATTTGCTTTGCAATGGGTAAGGTGGGTGAGCAAAGCAACTTGCTGAGGTGGATTGTATATTATAGTTATTTTATGTGCATTGAAATACAAGGTGTCAGAGTGTAGAATCAAAAAGTAATGATAAGAGGCGCGAATGCGAGCATGAATGTTGGTAAACGTATAGAAATCATACAAGAGTACACATTTGTTCTTTTATACATACAACATACAACACATTGCAAGCAATAGAATGATTGAAAGCAAAGCACACAGCACAGCACTCGCCATAAATTAAACTTGATTTAATAAAATTATTTCATTTTAATGTAAATAATTTCAACATTAGAGCTTAACAATTTGGCAACCCTACGTCAAGGGATCTTAGGATGTCTAGATATAATCAAAAATAAAATATGTATATAAAAACAAACAAAAAGAAAAGAAAAGAAAAGAAAACGAACTGAAAGCGCAGCAGAATACAAAAGAAAAGCAAAACCCTTTACAAATCCTGTACCGAAAAATCAAATAAAGTTAAGAAAAAGGGCAAAACAACATAAGGTAAAGAAACTAAGAACCGGTCCACTAAGTTTTGCACGTTCTCTAATTAAGTTTTTTTATTTTTATTTTTGTTTTCGTTTTCGTTTTTTTTCGTAATTTCTTGCTTTACTTCAGTAAACTTTTACGAACGTCTATGGAAACAGCGAAAACAAAATGGTGGACAACGAAATGTTTTGCTCCCCACTGAGCGATAATGCGATTGTGACGTGAATTGCAGTCGAAATGCAAACGAACGCAACAACAACACAAACAAAGAATTGCACATTTTGAAAAGTGAATGGAAGAAAAGACAGAAATGAAAAATTTTGCCACGAAAATTAAGAGTTTTGTCTGTTTGAAAACGTGGGTGAGAAGAATATTTTAAACAGATAAATAGTAAATTATAAGTCACTTCAAGCAAACTGATTTATGTAATAATAATAATAATAATTTATTTTCATTTATTTATCAACAAAAATTAGTTTTATTGATTTTAGTTGAGAATTGAACTGTCAAGCAAGAAGCGCTATCAAACCTGAACCAACAACAAATTGGAAAGTAGCAAACATTTTGAAATGCCAGCAAACACATTTGCAAATGGAAAAATTTAGTTGATTTTTTATGAAAGCTTGAACGAAATGTCAGACAACACCTTTTATTTAAACTTTACCGACGGCATACTCTTGCACTTGCCTATCGCTCAACAATCGCGTAATGGCATTTTAAAACTTTTTATAAACATTAACAAATTAATTAAAGTATTATAATTAATTGGAGTCAACGTTTTTCAAAGAACAAGAAATAAAATTTTTGCTAAAAATGGATGCAGTAACAAAGTTTAATAGTAGACATTGGTTTTAAAATTTCGTTTCGTTCATTCGAAAATATTGTGTGTTTTAACTTGTCAGATTTGCACTTAATTGCACGAAACACATACACACATACATACATTGCACACTACATGCACGCACAACACACACACGTACACATGTACAAGCTACAGTGAACTTTCAAGTATTATTTTTATGCATAAAAATTTTAAATGATTGAGGAGAGCATTCCGTCTTTGCACTTTTTTCTTTATACGATATGCGATATGCGATATGTTTTAGATACATTCACTAATGCTGTTCAATTCGTTGTTATTACCTTTTTATAATTTAAAAGAATTTTGTCACTTTTGTTTAAAATTTGTTTAATTTATTAGGAATTTTTAATTATTTATATTATAAAATTTCCTCGTTTGTTTTGTTTTAAATATTGAGATCACTTGTGTGTTGCAAAATGAATTTTTGGTAAGATAAAATCAACTATTGTAAATTGCTTGGAATTTTTATACATGAAAAAAAACAAAATAAAAAATTAAAACTAATATGAATGGAAAACTGATCCAAAGCAATTTTAGTGCCGCGGTGTAATATGGCGGACGCTACGTCACCGGTTCTTTTCGCTCGTCTACTCGCAGCACAATCGTCGTTCTTAGTCTTCACGTCGTCACTTTCGTCGAACAACACAACTTGGTGAATCGCATCAAAGGCACAGGGACCGCTGTGCTCAGAATGCGCCTCATACAAGCACATCAATAATGCACACACTTGCAGTAGTGTACCACTTCCATTCAAACTCACAATACTACAAGCGGTATATGAGCGAAAATTTAGCAATTCTCTTTATAGTTCAACAATTAGAATTAAAGCAACAATACAAAGGCAGTAAACTTTACTCTCGCAAAAACTTGCAAAAACACAGATACACACCAATACTATGACAATTTCAATATGAGCGCACAACACACAGCAAGTTCTGTTACTCATGCCGCTTATAAAGTTTAACATAGCTATACGACAAAGTGAGGTGGTCAGGGTGGTAAGAGCGCATTACGAATTTGCAGCTCAAAGCGTATTGCAAAAATACAAAAAAACTCTATACACTAATGCGACGGCAAAGTTTCAAGGCACACAGACACGAGTTTATTTTGTACTGTGAGCGAAAGGTTAATGGCAAACGACGGTAACGTTGATTCCTCTCTCTCTGACTACAATCCAATAAACGTGTTGCACGATCCTCTGTTTTGTTTAGTTCCCCACTGTCTATGTGAATTCATAACCGCGTGTAGCTTGTGGATGGCAAAAGCTGTGGAAGACATAAATTTATAGGACCGAATTTGCAAAGAAAAACTAATGACAAAAACAAAATTCGCAAATACCTAAAACAAAATTCTTTGCGAATGTCAGACATGAAAAGTTGTGTGAAAACAAATATTTCATGTAGGCGCATAAAACGAAAGCAATTTTTTCAGAATTTCATCTTTAAACATAAAATAATAAATATATGCAGTAAAGCGATTTTGGTGACGATTTTCGAATTTTGACTTTTAGGAAATTCTAACCGGTAAACTTAGTTTGTATAGTTAATATAAATGACAAATTCAGCTTTTCAAATTTAATAATTAAATACATGATGTATCTGTATATATATTTAAAAACATTTATTTTTAATAATAACAATATGAACTAATTTAAAATCTTTTATATGAAAAGATAACATAACATTTTAATTATGTTATAATCTAATTCGTATTTTTTATAAAAATTTAAAATCCATACGGAATGTTTACATTATATTACATATAGCACACAAATACAATGAACATACATATGAACACGCAATATAATATTGCTACTATTTTGTATAAATACGAATACGCATAGATAGTCTATCTATCTAACAGACATTTATTCTGTGACAAAATAAGAGTTAATTATTTCTTTACAATATTTTAGAAATACTATGTCAGAAGATGCAGCGTCGAAAGTAAAGAGAATACTTTTAATATTTGGTAGGATGATTTTTTATAATAAAATAATTATTTGATACTACACAAAACTTTATATTGAATTTTGTTTAATTTATAATAAATTCACAACCAATCCATAATAAAATAGTTTTCATAAAACTTAATTATTTGATTTTTTTATATTGTATATTTGAATTCTGCGGTTTTTTTCTTATTCTTTGGTTGATGTCTACCTACAGCTTTGGCATAGCACATTCTTTTCACTTGAAGTTATGTTTGATGCTAATATGTATGTATGCATATGGCAAGGAAACTGTCGACGTTCCACATAGATTCCACAAAATTATAAACAAGAGATTTGTATGAGTTGAAAGGTTTGTTCAGGTAAAATGGTTAAGAAAATTTACCTTGTGTACCTTATTTGTTAATTAAAAAACAAAATAATGTAGAAAAAGTTTGTTGTTATTTTGAGTATTGACGGTACTATTGTACCGGTTGTAACACAATTAATTATTTACTTCCTTAAGTGAGTGGAAGTTTTAGTTAAACCAAAAACACAACTAAAAACATTTTTATGAAATGTGGGGGAAGTTACACTTATTTAAGAATAACAAAAGTACTTGTATCGATACAAATTATTAAAATCAAAAGATAATAATTGACATTTTCAATTCAAATACATAATTATATATATGTAAAAAATAACAAAACAAATAAAAAACTTATGAAATTTTTGAATTTTTCAATTGTATATAAATATGTACAATAAATATATATACATACATATTTTGAGTTATCACTCTAGATAAGTAATAACATCAGGACAATATATAATGTCACTATGAACCGTTATATGGGATTGAAAAACATACCAAAACAGTAAACCAGATCTTAAATTGCTCAAATTATCTTATCCTTTCGTTAGACAAAGAAATTTTTGGTACCACTTTTTTTTACATTTACTATAATATTTATTTCTAACTATAAAAAATGAATCTGATTAAACACATATTCTACATATCTGGAATACAACATCATAAGTTAAACGATCTACATTTATTTGAAATGGTCCGGAGATATCTATGCTGGTGTGTAATATCAACAAACACAATCTTTAATTTTTACACTTCAGTAAATCCTTTCCTAAATCATTTCTTAAATGTTAATTATTGGATTCGCTCCATGCCCACGGTATAACGCCTAATGACAATACCCGGACATGGCGAAGGCTAGTCACCTAAAAAACGTCAAAACAGACTACAGACTATAATCTATCTAATGGCATACTTAACTCCCATCCGCAAACCGATGAAAATAAAAACAAAAATTTTACAATTAGAACTGTATATAATTAAATGTAATAAATATATACGAGTATATTATTGTAAATTATTGTCATGAAGAAGACTCTATTTGAATTTTAAGTACATAAAAAATATTTGCGTGGATATATAATTTTTTTAATGAACTGGATCTTCTGAATCAATGCCCTGAATTCAATAGAAAAAACAGCGCTGAAAAAGTCAGGAGTAATTTTTCAAAGAACTCTGTGCTGTAGGAAACATCTGTAAAAACATATTCAATTGTATATTAGCAAATATATATATACATATTTATTAAAATTTTGTTTTTTATATTTTTGTATATGCTGACAGACATATATTAACGAAACAATATTAAATATATTACAATTTCTTTTTAACTAATATGCACTTATTATTGAAAATGAAACCATTTAAATTTTGTTACAATATACATATACATGTTTATATATAATTATATATTAGTAACACATATGTATTACTCATACTAAGAACTATTGGTTTTTACACTATATTTTTGCATAAATAAATTCCTTTCGAAATTTAATATTCCAACTACAGAAAAAGCAATTAATCAATACAAAAATTCTTAAAATGAAACATTAAAAATTTAATTGGAAATATTCCTCTGATGTTTTCGTATTAAATTTTATTAAAATATACAATGTAACTGTTTTGTTTATAAAAGTAAAATTCCAAAAATTCATAGAAAATTTATTCGATCAAATTTAATTCTATGTAATAAGGGAGTGGTTTCGATGTAAGAGTTAACTACTAATCGTCTACTGATTAGATAAACTGTTCGTGAGAATTGCAGAAAAGAGATAGCAAATTAAAACCGAATTATGTCTTATCATTATTTGAATTTTACATCTCAGCGGATTAAAGTGCGCATTTGGGGAATACCCCCTTTTTCCTTTTTGAAATAAAGTACGAATAATAACATTCATCAACTAACTAATTTATACAAAACTTAAAAAAAACAGAAAGGAAAATTCGCTCAAAAATTAGAACTAAAGTTCTAAATTTAGAGCTTTTGGTGCATACAATGTATTAAAATTTTTCAGTTCTAAATTCTGGACAATTCGAATTTGTGAGAGTTTTAATTTGTGAGCTTCTACTGTATTACTATTTTACTATTACATACTTTTATTACTTGTATTTATTTTTTATTTATAAAAACGTTATAAGTTACATGATGTATCAATTACATAAAAGACTATTGAGAAGTATTTAGACCTCTGAGAAATATGTGTAACTTCTCAAGCATTCCGTAGATTCGTATAAAGTGTAAACATTTAACATCACGCCCACTAGAATTCTAAGTAGATGAAACCAAGCTAACTTATCATATCTATACAACTAATTACTCGATAATTATTATCATTATTTCTCCAACTTATTGATCGAACCTCTTTAATATGATTTATTTATTTTTAAATTTTAGAAAGAATTTATTGACAAATACCGAAGTTCCTAAATAAGACCAAAAGACTTATTTTTACATCACTTATTGGCACTATAAATAAAGTTTTAAATTTGAAGTAAATGCTTTTATATAGTAGTTTGATGGTGGGGCATGACCACTTTTAGTTCGTGAACTGTTTTATCTGGTTTATTCTGTTAAAGAACTAGACACACATATATTAAGTAGATGTATTTCACAAATTCAGTGAAATGTACATGTGTTTCGGTTACATCACTTATGTAGATAAAAAAAAGTATTATAACTTTTAATTTATAACTTAACTTATAATTTATAAGTACTATATAAGTATAGTACTATTTTAAATATTTAAGTTGCATATACTTATTAATTTGAGATAATACAATAACAGCTTTATGATAAAAGTATTTCTTAGACCAGCAAAATAAACCATAAATCATGAAATCACCTTCACAGATTTGGAACTATAACTGTTCACATGAACTTAAAATTTCCAGTAAGAGTCATTAACACATATATTGATCACGTTCGTGCCATTTGTAAACATAGCTTATCAGTAACATTGATTGAATTATGTGATGTGTTCAAATTGATTCGTCTCAGTTTATACGAATATATACTGCACCTATAGGTTACAATATATTCTCCACTACTATACCAATTATTCCGAAAACTAAAGGTATATAAAATCGATTATAGAGATTTAAACGACATATATAGACTGTGAGTAAACAAAAAAAAAAAAAAGAATTGTAAATCTTTGTTTTTAATATATATTAGAACACCTTTTTTAGTTACTTAAATGTGTCGACCTCTTCTTGAGCCTTTCTTGTTTACATTATCACTTCATTTGTTAATTTTTTTTGAAGTAATTAAACCAGAATACATATCCTATACGGTTATAAAAACATACATTGATACTTCTGTAGAATTTTTGTAAAAAC